GGATGTAATACACAGCACAGGGAATATAACCAACAGCTTATAGTAACTTTAAATGGAATATAATCTATAAAGAGTTTGAATCACTGTGTTGTACACCTGAAACTAATATAACATTGTAAATCAACAACACTTCAATCAAAAAGAGAGAGAAGAAAAAGAAAAGAGGTTTGGTGAGAGAGGAGGGAAATCAAACACCAGTCACAATGGCTGTTCAGTGTGTGGGGTGAACTGATGAAGCTGGAAAGGAACAGTGATGCCTGATGTCCAGAGTTTCATGGAATTGGTGGGGGCAAAGCAAAGCAAAGCAAAACAAGAACTCAGTGAACAAATGAATAAACCTCAACAAACAAACAAACAAAACCAACCTGGATCTTTTTAAAGAGGCTGAATTTAGTGACTTGTCCACTGAAAAGTGTGAGGAACTGTTAGCTTTACATGGCAAAGAACTTACTGTCAGAGACCTGGTCCCAAATGATGCTCACAGTTTTAAGAAGGGTCAAACTCATGGAATAAGTGTGAGGATTTATGACGAAATTTTTAAATTAGAAAAATTTTCAAGAAAATTTACATCAAACAAATGGCACTAACAGAAGCATTCCACTAAAAGATGTGATTACAGCAGTGTTACGTTACCAAAGGAGGCATGTCTGCAAGCAAGGGAACACAAAGAGATGCCTATTTTGAGTTTTATTCCATTGCATTGCTTTGTCTATGGTTTTAGATGATGGCTTACAATCATCTTCTTCTGGAGTTGATGGTACATCACGTCCCATGATGTAAAGCTAGTTCCCAGCTCCTCGGAATTGGACCTGGGCCTACCCCAGGGATGGACTGTTCCACCCACTCCTTTACCAGCTCATCCCCGCAGTGTCACCCCCACTGAATAACCGCTGTGACTGCTTACCTGCTCTTTGATTGCCCTCCTCTCTTAGTGCACAAAGCTGACCAATAACTCCTTTAAATTCCTCTGACTTTACATGACTGTGGTGAACGCTGGAATCAAAACCACCAGGAGTAAAGTGCTGTCACCTTGGTGAACAGTGAAGACATTCCACCTCCAGCAGATACAACACAGAGAAGAATCGAGGAACACAGCTGACAACCAGAGAGGCACAGACATGTGGCTCTAGTCCAGTGTCCCAGCCATTTGAGCCACTCCTACCGAAGCCCCGGGCTTCATGGAGCAGAGGCACCTGGCACCTTCTGTGCTCTGCTCGACTTCCTGACACACAAAATAATGAGCATAATAAAACTGTTGTTTTATGAGTTTTGGAGTGATTTGTTATACAGCAATAGATAATTGGCTCACCTGAATAGATTCCTAGAAATGAAATTGCTAGACAATTGGTAGATTCATTTGCAATTTTGATAGATGCTACTAAATTGTCCACAATAAAACAATTTAACCAAATTAGTTATACCAGCATTTTATTAATTCCCCCATATCCTTGCTCATGGTTTTATCTGTCAATTTAATTGATGAAAAATTATATCAGTGTGATTTTTATATGTGTTATGAAGTACGAATGTGGTGAATCATTTTTCCTCTGTTGAAGATCTATAACTTTTAAAATTAATGTCTGTCTTATAAATCTGTTGCTCATGTTTAAATTCTCTTGTTAGTCTTTTTGATATTGATTTGTTCTTTACACAGCCAGAAATGATCATCTTATCCTCTTGGATTTTTTTTTAAATCCAATTTTGTTCACTGTTAGTTTATTGTGACTTGTGTCTAAAAGAATATGAAATAATCACAATATGGTAGGTTTCCTTAACTTGTTCTTAACTTTTGTGGTAATACCACAGTGTTTCCAGTTAAACAAAGTGCAGGCTTTGAGGTTGAGATGGAAATTTTTATTATGGTAAGAAAGTAATCAATTATTAGATGCTGAATTTTACCAAAGCAGATAGGAAGGAAATTTTTCTTTTCATCAGCTAAGGAGATGACAGAATTATGTTTCTCCTTGGCTTTATAAAACATTAAATTATATGAAAGTATTCCTGATACTGAACCATCTTTGCATACTTGGGACAAATTTTTATCATTTAAGGTATTGCTGGATTCTATCTGTTAATAGCTAATTAAGAATTTTTGCATTTCTTCATGAGTGATCTTATCCATTTCTAAAACAAAGTAATTCTTCTTCCTTTGATTTCCCTGGTTCTAGCTGTATCTAGTTTGGGTGTCTCATCTATCTTCCTTCCTTCCTTCCTTCCTTCCTTCCTTCCTTCCTTCCTTCCTTCCTTCCTTCCTTCCTTCCAAATTTCTCAGTCTTATGTTTTTCTGAATAGATACTTCCTCTCTAGAAGCATTCTGGTTCTATCTTTTCAGAAAATAAGGTTTTTACCATCACCACCTTTCCCCATCACCTCTTACTTTCTTAGGCAAGCCTGACATTGAACAAAGACTATAGCATGGTAAATGTTATTAAGGAAAATGCCAGGGTGCATTGGGAGTGTGTAAGAGATAAGCTAAATTAACCAGAGGTGGGTAGTCAGAAAAGACTGCTTAGAAAAAGACTTGGGGTTGAAGTTTCACGGTCCCAGCTGTGAGCTGTGTGAAAAGCAGATTCAAAAGCCCTGTCCTTTATCTTGCTTTGCATGCTCTGCATTTGGATATCTTTTGCGGGGGGGTGTCCTCCTCAATGTCCTCTTTCACTTCCTTTGCCTCCCCACCCACCCCATCCCCTCAGTGCATGAAAGCAGAACTATTGTGGCTCAAGTGAGCTTGTAGAAGGACCCTATTTGTGAAATTTGGGGTGAGCCCACTGAGGTCTCCACCCAATCTATTTCCTGGCCCCTCCCCTGGGCTCAGGAAGCCTGTCCACCCTTCATTTCCTTTCCAACCACTTCCTACACGAAACTCTTATATTTTTCAGGTTTGTTCTATGTTCAGCTATATCTTGAGAAGAATTTGGTTTCCGGGTGTTTTCTTTTTATTTTAACCAAAAGTGAAAAATAACTGTTTCTATCATATCTGTGAAAGGAAACCACAACCCCAGAGCTGCACCTGAGGCAAGCTTCATCCTCTGAGAGGGCAGAAAACCAACTGACCTGGTGTCATCTGAAGGGACTGAAGTCCCCCTGTGCCAAACATGAACCTGCCCACTCTCCCTGAGCTGTCATTCCTCTCTTCCGAGTAAAGCTCTTCCACCAGGAGAGTGGTTAGGTAAAGATAACAACACACAGGGAGAGACTGTCAAAGAGGTCAAAGGGACTGAACATAGATCGAAATAATTCCAGCGAAGAGTTGAAGGTCCAAGTCCTCAAACACCAGGTGTAGGCTGGAAGATTCGTTCGCTGTAGTCTATGACCCACTGCTCTCAGACATGCAGGATCTTTTAAAAGAGGCACCTCAGGTCTCACTTGCTACCAGATCCTGGGTTTGGATATCATTCACAGAAATTGTAGACAAAGCTCAATTTGCTCTAGTTCTAACTTGCCATCTTCCTCCTGCCCCCTACCCCCAGTTTTAATAACCCAGAGCCCATCAGGGACCATAGATGGCCAAAACACATCCTTTGTATATATATGCAACGGGATTTTGGCCCCTGACCACAATGGCCACTGACCAGTTATGTGTCCTTGGGCAAATATGACCCTAATTTCCTTCATCTTAAAATGGGAAAAACTTAAACTACTTATAGGATTGTCAGAATTAAACGGAAAAATGCATGTAAAACCTGTAGCCCCAGTGCCTAGCACAACAGTTTCCAAACCTTAGCCTGCATCAGAATTGCCCGAAGAGCTTGTGAAAACATATATGGCCAGGCAGCACCCCTGGAGTTTCTGAGTTAGTAGGATTTGGGTGGAGCCTGAAGAGTGGGATTTCTACAAGTCCCCGGGTGACACTAATGCTGCTGGTCCAAGGACTGCATTTTGAGACCGCATGTCATCATTTACATTGTTGAGGTTGGGTTACCATCATGTCTGGGCTCCAGCTGTAGAGCTGAAGCCCTGTGCCCAGCTGCAAATAGCAGTAAGAGGTTTATCTCTGAGGCACCTTAACTTTCTGGCTTTGCTCCCTACATAGGACATTTAGGCCATTTCTTCACTGTCCAAAGCACCCCTACATTTTCTTTCTTTTAGGTCCATCTTAGATGAGAGGGTCCAATGCTGACTTTCCCAACTAAAACATTTACATTTCAGATGTGCTTTGTTTCTCCCCTCTAAGCTCCCCCTCTAGCTGATTTAATCAGAGGTGAAGGACCTTCAGAAAATGCCTTAGCTCAGTGGTTCTCAATCTTTACCATGCGTCAGCCTCACTTGGATGGTTTGTTAAAACACAGATTGTTGGACTTCACTCCCAGAGTTTCTGGTTCTGTAAGTTTGAGATGGAGCCCAAGACTCTGCATTTCTAACCCATTTCCAGTTCATGCTGCTGGTCCATGGCCCACACTTTGAACCACTAGTCTAATCACAGTAAGTCTACAAAGTAGCTAGCAGTACTGGTTTCCATGGCTCTGGGGACCATCAGAGTAGGTAGTCATTTACATAAAGTCAGATGTCTCTGATGTGTTTGTCACGTGTCAGAGTATGATGTAAGGGGAAAAAGAAGAAACCAATGTGGCTTCATCTCTACAGGTGTCCTCATATGTTAATGAAAAGACAAAACCAACATATGTGGAAAATGGAGTCCAAGAAACAATGTCTGATTAACAGGGGTGGAGGATTGATCAGATCTCAAGCTGCCATGTAGGAGGTCATAGAGGAGATTTTCACTAAAGGATGGGAGGATGGGATGTGTGGAGAGCTTTGGGGACAGACAAATAGACAGGTGGGAGGAATGAAGGCTTGACGGTAGAAGTGTTTCATGGGTGGGAAAAAGTACACAGCTAAACTGTGAAACAGATGCCTCTGCCATGTGTTTAGTTACTTGTGGCTAAACACTGTGCTTTATATCTCCTTCTCATTTCATACTTACAGCCATACTGGGAAGTAGAGATTATTAGCTCCATTTTTTTTTTGACTGACAGATCCTGCCTCAAGTTTATTTGTACAAACAGCACAGGTAGACATGAACCCCATGCAGACAGCAGCACAGGGGTCACACTAGTCCTTCTATTCTCACATCAGAGATGAAAGCCTCTACTCTGGAGCCTCTGTGGGGGCCTGGGCACCTTTGGGAGCCTGAGCTGCAGCTGCAGCTGGAGCTGCGGCCTTGGCCTGAGCCTTGGCCTTGGCCTTTGGCTGACAGAGCCTGAGACCCTTGGCGGTGCTGCAGACATGAGCACGTTTCCTGAGCTTGGGGTGAACAACGTCGGCAAGTCAACTGAGCTCGCGGCTGCCGCCCTGTGGGATCTTGGGCTTGACCTCCTTGGGCTTTCCGAGAGCCTTGATGGCCTCAGCACGTGCGCTTGTGGCCTTGGTGTTGCTGGCCTGCATCTCCTTCAGGCCCTCCTTGCTGTGCTTCTTGGCAGAGCGCATGTTCCTCAGGAACTTGGGGTCCACCCCCTTAAGAGATTCGTATCGTTGTGGTCGGGGTTTTTGATGCCACTTCTGTGCCATTTTCAGGACTGGCTGTGTGTGGTGTGGTTCTTCAGCTAGGCCATGTCTGCACCGGAGCCAGGAGATCCCGAATCACCTGGGACAGGAAGAGAAAGAGCTATTCGCTCCATTTTAAAATAAGTAAAAACATTATTCAGAAAGTTGAACAATCCGACCAGCGTTACTCAGGGAATGAGTGTGAGGCCAGTGCCTGGAAGGGAACTTTCAGGACCCCAAGCCTATCGCTTGTCTCTCATTATAAGGTAGCCAAATAGAAAGTCTGCAGCCTGATGTAAATCTGTCGATTCCAGGCCAGGAAGCACACACTGACCTATAGTTAGGGTCTCTTGAGCAACAGACACATGATAAGGCTGGGTTGCAGGAACCTCAATTTAGTAAATGACGGTCACATTTAAGAAGTGAAACTGGTGCTGGGGAAAGGGGGTGGGAAGGGGTAAATTTGGGAGTTTGAGATTTACAAATGTTAGCCACTATATATAAAAATAGATTTTTTAAAAGTTTCTTCTGTATAGCACAGGGAATTATGTTCAATATCTTGTAATAACCTTTAATGAAAAAGAATTTGAAAACGCATCTATGTATGTATATGCATGACGGGGACATTGTGCTGTACACCAGAAACTGACACACTGTAACGGACTGTGCTTCAGTTAAAGGGAAAAAAGAAGTGAAACTGAGGTAAGAGAGAAGTTACCATCTAGCTACACAAACTCCCGTTTTTCTCCCCCTTCCTTCTTTTTTTCTTACTTCCCCAGCCATGTGTTACCCAGTATTAGTCTGCGTCTCTCTCTCCCACTTTCTTTCCTTTTTCTCTTTCTTGCACAATGTCTTTTAAACAATCCTGACCCCAGTTCCGTACCCCACTATGTCAGGGATTCTAAAGTACGCAGCCTTACAAGAACACACCCTTCCTTTCGATCCTGGCTCGGGGTCCTGAGAGATTCCAGAACTGAAGGTCACAGGGAGGAGGGCAAAGGCACTAGCTTTTCTGGAAAGGCTGCTGTAGACTCTGCACAGGCTGCTCCTCAGAGACCTTGCTCACAAAAGTACACACACACACACACACACACACACCCCGTGGTCCTCAGCTCCCAACCTGTTCACAGCCTCTCCTGCTTTCTGAGGATTAGCACCTCTATGGAGGAATTTGCTTCAGAGGTTAATTTAATCTAGACACTGGGCAATGATTTCCTTTTCCAAGAGATGAAGGACATTTTGGGGAGCAGGCAGACTGTTAGGCTAAGGTGGTCAGAGAGGACTGCAAGAGCCTCTTCCCTGTAAGTGTGGCCCCCTGACCCTAAGACATGCTCACACAGGGACAGGAATTTGAATTCCTGCCTAGGGAACTGTATTGGTGTTAACAAACCATTGGAGTGTATTAACTCTAAAAGCCCTTTTCTACTGCATTAAAATATATAGGAACTTTTTTTTAGCCTTCCCCTAAAGTCATCTCTGTCTCTCCCTATTAATACATGAGATCGTCCCCCTGAGTATTACCACAGTACGAATTATGACTATGAGTGACTTAAGAAATTTTCCATCAGCACAGTGTTGCTGGTTTCCCCCTGTCAGCCCCCTCAGCGTTGGACTTTCTCATGTTGCCTCAGCATTTGTGCCTCCTGTTAAGACACAAGGAAGTGAAAAGAACACGAGTCTGAGGGTCAGAAGATGAAGGTTTTGGGCATCAGGAAGCCACTGTGCTTTCTGGGCAAGACTCATAAAGCCTCTGAGTGGCACTTGTTTACAGATAAAGTGAAGATTGTGGCAGAGGATCTAAGGTCTCATCCTACTGGGACCTTAGAGTTCCCCAGGGCTTCTGACCTCACCCTGTGAGCATGAGAGCCCTGCTCACCCAGGAGCTCAAAATGCAGCCCAAGACCCCAACGAGGCTGACTCGATTCTCAAGGAGCTGGGCAGAATGCAGGTGTAACCCTGCAGGGCTGGTTCAGAGGGCTAGCCATCCCTGCTTGGAGACCCTAGAGGGTGACCAGACCAGTGAGGGACAGTGACAAACTGGGAAGCTTGGAGCAAAGGGCTCTGGCAGAGAAATATCAGTATAAGTCATCTGGTCCTGGGATTTTGACTCCATGTTCATCAGAGGAGCGTTGAGTTGGAGACATTTAAGGATAAATTAAGTCAACTTAATCTACCTTTTAGCACAAAATAATCAAGGAGGCAGGGAGTGCACAGCCCATTCCTGGTACTTCAGGTCTTTTTCTCATCTCCCTGCAAAGCAGAACATACATTCAAACGCCCCTGAATTCTTACCTTTCCTCTGTCAGCAGCGGGAGCAAACTCCGTCTAGGAGATACTGAACAGTAATAGAAAGATCAACATTCAGTGATGTCCCCTCTTCCAAGGGCTCAACACAGGGTTGGGACCAAGTCTTCCAAGGTCTCCATTTCTCCCCTTGGCAGTTTGTTTGATGACGGGTTCTCCATCACCCTCTAAAGTTTGTACCCTTAATTAGATATTATCAAAAGGTCAGAAATAACAGAAGTAAAACCAATGAACCACTGAAGTAGTAAGCAGTAAAAGATTATCTTGCACTCACCAAAAATATAGTTTGCAAGCTGGGAGCACTCAGATCAAACCATGGGAGAAGCTCAGGGCTATGTTTTCACATAGCAGCTGAGGTAATGACAAGGCAGTGACTATTTATTCTTTATAGCAATAGGCTAGAATATTAGGATTTTCTTAAATGATAGGGAATTTGTTAGTGATTATCTCATATCAGTTTTGGGGAAGTTTAATTTTTGCTTATGGTTTCCAGAAGCATAAGCAAGAAATGGCCCAGTTCGTTAGTCTTGCAAAATTAGCTAAATTAAGCTTTGTATCACTACTGGTTTTATCTACTCAGGGAGTTTCCAAGCCTGGTTTCTGGTTGTTTTTCACTTTAACAGTGTGATATGAGGTTTTGTTCATGTGCATCTCAGCAAGTCCCCGGAAAGTCTGTGTGTACAATTGAGGTTAGACCAGTTACCAGAACTGCTGTAGGAACAAGACTGCTGGCAATCGACCTGTGTATGCAGCCACACTGCCTCTTGTCTTTGCCACAGCTGATTTCTATCTCACCTCCTCTATCATTTGTCTTTCCTGTCACATAATGTTATGGTCACTTCACAGGAGAGAGTTAGAATGTTGTGTCATGTGCCCGACCCTGTCCATGAGACAGTGCTCAGAATGAGAGAAAGCAGGTGAGCAGGGATGAAGAGAGGTCTCACCATGGAGAGATCTGATCTCAATGTGGAGATCTCACAGAACAGTTTTTCTCCCCAAGTCAAGAATGACACCCAACGAGGGGGATCAAGATGACAGAGTAGGAAACTGTGGAGCTCATCTCTTCCAACAAACACAACAAAAATACATCTCAATATGGAACAAATAGTTACCATATGATTTGGGATTCCCGCTTATGAGCATATATTCAGAAAAGATGAAAACACCCTAATGTTCAATGTTCATGGCAACACTAGTTATAATAGCTTAGACATAGAAACAGCCCATATGCCCATCTACAGACAATTGATTTAAGAAGATGTTGTATACATATATACTCACACACATATATGCACACACAATGGAATATTACTCAGCCATAAAATGAATGAAATATTGCCATTTGCAACAATGTGGATGCTAGAGATTATCATACAAAGAGAAGTAAGTCATATAGAGAAAGACAAATATTATATGATATCACTTACATGTGGAATCTCAAAAATAATACAAATGAATCAATATACAAGACAGAAACAGACTCACAGACATAGAAAACAAACTTATGTTTACTAAAGGAGAAAGAGAGTGGAGAGGAATATATTATGAGTATGGAATTAACAGATACAAACTACTATATATAAAACAGACAAACAACAAGGATTTGCTGTATAGCACAGGGAACTGTATTCAGTATCTTGTAATAAACTATAATGGAAAATAATCTGAAAAAATATATCACTGAATCACTTTGCTGTATACCTGAAATTAACAATACTGTAAATCAACTATACTGTAATAAAAAAAGAAAAAATAAACAAAGAACAACAAACAAACAAAAAAAGAATAACACCCAAGATCTCCAAGTGACCTAAGAATATCTTTTGATTAAAAGAAGCAAAGCATTATTGATTAACTTCAATTCTTAATAAGTTTATATATCTATATATTTAAAATTAAAGAGTAAACTTTAAGAGAATAAAAATATAACCTATAATTTGCAGCATAAAGGGAGATTAAAACAATTAAGTAATCTAATCTAAAAGGCAGAACACAGAAAAAAGAAAAGAAAAGAAACAAAATCAAAGCCCATGCTTATAGTTTAATACTGAAACACCTGAAGTTTTCCCTTGAAAGTCAGCAAGGATATCCTGTACCACCACCTTTATCCAATATTACACTAGCTGTCTTAGCCAAAGCAATAAGACAAGAAAAATTAGTCATACCATTTAGAGAAGAAAAAAACAAATCTGCTACTACTTACAGATGGTGTAACTGTCTGAAGACCCTCTCAGGCTGGTGCTGGCCTGAGGGTGAAGCAGGAGTGTCTTCCTCTGAGTCTCCAAACTCACACCAGGGCCTCACTCAGAGAAGGCACAGCAATGAGCATTTTGGACTCTCTCTGGAGCAAATAAATGACCATTTACTTGGAACGAGTTCTTCTACCCTCATTCTGCCTGTCAGCCTGAGCTGAACGTGTAACTAGAAGGGCCAGAGCTTAGGTTGTAGACAAGTAGGCTAAACAGGTGGGCATAGTTTGTTGAATGTGCACAACTGTTCATGTTGTGATGGAATCTGTCAGCCCTGTTTCTAGGAGATTACTGCTTACTGGAAATTTGGAAAATAACTGTTTCTTTGGTATGTTTTTAAAAATTCTTGTTCTAGTTTAACCATTTAAAAATATTAATTGTCCTTTCCATTTCCCAATTAAACCTCACGAAATAACACAGTGCAAAAATAGGCAAATACTGAGAATATGGGCAAAACTGGGCAAATACCACTAGAAGACCAGAAAACAGAATCCTTTATAGTCAAGTGGGGCTATACTGCACAAATTCCCCCATTCAGCATCTCACTACTCAACCTTCAACCCTGCATCTCAAGTTTGACTTGAGGGGGTACTGCCTTCATATGATCTCCTTAGGGCCATGTGGGTGGGATGGTTCTCCTATCACTTAGCACAGAAGTGCAAACCTGGCCTCCTCATGTGCCTAACACTTTCTCAGGCCCATTCCTTTCTCCCTCTCAGATCCCGTGCCTTATTCCCTACAACCATGCCTCAATGTGTTAGTAAATATTTAACATATATTAAACCAGGGGTTTTATGGAGTCATTAATTAATAAAACCCTACATGAGTGATTCTCAAGAGCTAAAAATATAAGTACCAGAGCAGATTTGCAGAAGAGACACATTTGATGGTGAAGAGAGCAGATTAAAAATTTGGCTTTCAAATCCTGCAGAAATCCTATGTTGTCCTAATAATATAGATGACTTACTGCTAGTCTGAAATCAGAATTATAAATTATAAAATGGGAAAGCAAATTAGCATTCATTTATAGAATTCTTCTATGCAAGCCCTACCTCATTTTACACATGGTTAAAATCATCAAGCTTTATAAGGTCTCTGGTCAAACTGTAACCTTCTCTCAGTGATGGTACCCTCTTCCATTTTGAACACCTTATTTAGATTTTCCTTTATGGTGAAGAAGTGTTGAAATATGTGCCCATATGCCTGTTTTCTATTTTGCACGTCAACAGACAGCAAATTTCTTCAGATCTGCATAACTGCCAAGTGTCTTCTTGAAACTTTTATTCAGTTCCTTCATTATTTTCTGTCTAATTATTTTACACACTTTAAAAATATTTCTAGCTATTCTCCCCTGAACTCTCCAAAGTATCAATACCACCCAAGATCTAGTCCCTGGAATTGGCCATCTATGTCTACATGTGGTCTGGTCAACTCAAAGAGTTAGGAGTATTATTTTCTGTCAGATCTGGATTTGTGATAAGAAATCCTGAGTTAAAAGGGCTTATTTTTGATGAGAGCTTTTGTATCATCATGAATGATTTTGCATCATTGGTTCACCTTGAGTTTTAGCTCACTGAAAAGCTCTGGATTATGTCATACTGAAAATATCCTATTAACAACACCTCCAGTCTGTTCATCTAAATTTATTTTTGGAAAACGTATCGTTTAAGAATTTTCAAAATAATTATCCAGCTGGTTTTAGTGCAGGGTTCTAGCTTGGCAATATCATTTTGTTTCCTGGCCTCAAAAGGTCTCATGGCAAATATTATTTGAAATAATAGGGTTTTTTTCCCCTGGAGAATTAAGGAGAACATATGAAAAATAGAAACCTGGACTATATGTCAACTTCATAACTGTGTGACATTAATACATCACTCAAACCTCAGATTCCTAATATTTTAACAGAAATTTTAGTATCTAATTGAACCATATAACAGGGATCTTGCAAGAGCAATGAAAACAATGGAGATAATACAATTTTCAAAAATACAAATTTCTTCCTGGAGGAGAATAAATAGGAAGGTGATAACGATGATGATGGTAACATTGTTGATAATTCATTGCCACCGTCACTATCTTTTGAAACATGGCAATTTGTGGATTTCAACACCCAAAGAAAATAACCAAAATTAGAAGAAACTTTTTGGAAATCAAGAGAATACCATTGATCATGGAATAGGACTAGAATGTGTGCTATGGCCACGCAGTGAGAACTCCCACATCCTGGCCTGTGGGATAGTTCATGGGGGAGCTCTTTAGAACTTCTGGCTTATCTTTTCATCCTCCTTTCTGTGCTTCTATTCCTGATGGCAATGTCTCATCTCCTACTCTCCACCACTGAAGGTGCAGAGCTCACAAGCTCTCTTTTGGTGTCTTGGTTGCCAAAGAGAAAGAGCATGGAAGCCATTGCTGGTGTCTTCTTAGCACACTTGAGGCAGACTTCCTGAGAACAAGGTGGCTCTGGGAGGTAGAGGGAGCCTGGTCCTGAGGGCCTGAGGATTTGGCCAGAAAATCTTGGATACATGACTCAAATGCCAGTTCCAGAAGCCCTGGGGAACTGGAGCAGTGAGGGGAGAGGAGGCCTAGGAGATTGTGTCAGGAGAGGGGTCCCGGTTAGATTGTAAAGTGGGAGGGATGGGGCATGGATGCAGTGGGAGCAATCCCAAAAATAGGACCACCATTTCTCACCTCACAGTTTTTTGCCCATGGCTACACTTTGCTGGCAAGTTTATGCCTCATAAAGGACATAAGGCCATGGTGTCAAACACAGAGAAAGTTGCTCCCTGCAGTAGTCAGCGTAAGGTCATGCCTCACAGGCAGGACTGGCTCTGCCAATCCCACCCTAGCCCTCTCCTTTCCATTTTATTCCATCTTATCTCATTCTTTCATACAGCTCTTCATGGGCACCTTCTATGTGTTCAGCTCTGTGTTGCAGTGTTTGTAAGAGAAGATCTCAGTCTAACTGGGTGGATGAGTTTCATCCAGAGGACATAAAGAGAGGATAAAACAAAGCAGTAATATATGTGAGGGCCCAGAATGAGTGGAACAGAAATCAGGGGCTGGGGGAGGGTAGCAGGAGGAAACCAGGTAGCTGGCCTATATCACAGGGATGGGCGAGGTGAAAAGGCAGGAGATGGTCCTTTGGGGAGCAGGGGTCTGCTGGTGGCCCTGAGAACTTCATACTGAACTCCCCCTTCTCTGCCTTTCTGTATAGCACGCTGCTCTGGCCCTGCAGGAAAGGCTGAAGGGAGACAACTCCAGTTAGAACACCTGTGAAGTTCAAGTAAGTGCTGTGTGTGAATAAACCAGTGCCTCCACCCCAGCCTGTGCCTCCCCCACCCCTTCACACCCTGTGTATATCCGTAAACTACCTTTATGTTTCCTGCCAATTTATAAACTTTTCATTGGAATTTTAAAGATGCATCTGAAAATGGAGTAGAGGGACTTCCTGTTTTGTGAGAAATCAGAGCTGACAGTTTGCTATTCTCTTGATGAATAAAACTATATTTAGAGCTGAATAACAATGAAACAATAAAAATTTATGGACTAAGCTACAGCAGTATTTAGAGGAAAATTCATAATCTTAAAAATGTACACTTGAAAATAAACAGTCAAAAAAAAAAGGAATGGG